GCGCCACTGCCTCCCTCCCCGCTCCCCCAGCAGCAGGTGGGGCGCTTTCCCCGCCGCGGCACTGCAGTGGGGGGTGCGCGCCCGCAATCCCCGCGCTCGGCAGCCCCTGCTCGGGAGCCTGGGATGCGGGCGGGGAATCCAGGCTCCCGGGGCCTCCCCCCCGCACCGTCTAAGAAGCAAATTTCTCTAGCCTAGGACCCCCCCGCTAGAGGAGAGGAGAGATCGGGCCCCCTCCCTGCCCAGGTATTCCCAGCCTCTCTGGACACTGTCTTGGAGAGGAGGAGTGGTGGGAAGGGAGCTGGTGGGTTCTGGGGTCTCCTCAGCCCCATCTGCGGGGTGTAACCTGGGCTTTAGAGTCCGACATATCTGGATTTAGAATCACTGGCTGTGTGACCTTGGACACGTACCTCACCCTCTCTGGATCTCAGTTTCCTCGTGTTTAAAATGGGGCCCTCGCCGCCTAGAGGGACCCCTGTGTAAGGCGTGCCAAGCAGCGAGCGCGCTGCTGGCTAGGGTGAGCTCTGCGTAAACTGATGTGTTATTACCATTATCAATGTCATTATTCTCAACCAAGGTGGTTCTCTGGCCCCCTCCACCCCTTTGGAGCCACACACAGGACACAGGACGCTGGACATCTGGAACCCGTCCCAGAAGTGGAGCCTTGGCAGGCGCCTGGGGGGGAGGGGGGTCCAGGACCCCGCCCCGCCAACCCACCCTCACCACCACCACCACCACCCCAGTTCTGAGACCTTTGGGCTCTGTCCAAGATCTGGCCAGTTAACGGCTAACCTAGTGGGCGGAAAAGGTCCGGGTCCCCTCTTGTCTGTCCGGTAGCGAGGGGGAGAGGAGGGTCTTTGTTCCCGGTCCTCTCCGGACTCCCTGCGCACCCCCCCCCTTTTTCCTTCCCGGTGCCCCACCCAAGCCGGCGTCTGAACTGCATTTGACAACTGCAGGCTGGAGGGAGAGGCTCTTCGGCCATCAAATCAGGGCACTTCGGGCAGCGTTTGCCATCCCCTGAACCCCGCCCGGGACCCTGGGACCTACCCTCGGGGAATGTGGGCAGTTCCCAGCGCGGGGGACATGGGTGCTTGGGGAGGGGTGGCCATGAGGATGGGGCGGCGGCTTACCTCGGGTCGGCAGTCCTGCGGCTCGAGTGCAGAGGGCTCTTTGTGCCCGGGCTCTCAGCGCAGAACTGGGGGAGCCCCTGCAAGCGCCTCCCATCGCAAACTCCTCCCCGCACTCGTCCGCAGCCTCCCTCCCTCTGGTCCCCCGAGCGCAGCCGGCGTCGTCTTTGTAGCTGCTGCAGAGCCCAAGAAATTTTAATGCGGGAGCGTCTGGCAGGCGCGGGCGCCCCACCCCTGGCCCTCGCCCGGGCCTTCCTCCCTCCTCCCGCGCCCCTGCCACCCCACACCCTTCTCCCGTCTCCCGGGGGTCCCGGCCAGGGAGGCAGGGTGCGGCCGGGAGCGGGGAGAGCGCACCGCCGCCCCCACCGCACAAAGGGACCAGCCAGGCTGCGCGCTCAGCCTCCAGCATCCCGGCCCCGCGCTGCCATGGCAACGCTTCCCGGGCTGGACCGAGCGCGCGGAGATGCAGAGGCGCGCAGTGAGCGACGGGGACGCGGGGGGCGGAGGCCTGGACCCCAGCGAAGGGATCGGCCCCGAGGACCCGCTGCGCACCCCGCACCGCCGCGCTGTGTGCCTCTCCCTTAACCCGGCCAGACGCGCACGTGCTTACGCGGAGCCAAGACTTGAACCCACGTCTGAGTCTTCACACTCACGTTCATGCCTACATCACTTGGCCCAACTTTTATAAATTCGGTCTTTTTTTTTTTTTCTTTTTTCCCCAACTGCCCAGGCCATGGTACCTACTACTTTCCAGACTAGGGATGCTAGACAGTGGGCCTAGGCCAGCAGCTCAACATCCCTTGGGAACTTAGAAATGTGAATTCTCAGGCCTCACCACAGAGCTACTGGATCAAAAACTCTGCGGTGGGGCCCAGAGAACTGTGTTTGAACAAGCCCCCTAGAATATCCTGATGCACATTCAAGCCGAGGACCACTGTTCTAGACCATTCCAGGGGCCTCTGTAACCAGGCTGTCCTGGGTTTAAATTTCAGCTCTGCCCAGGTAGCCGCTGGCCTCAGGCAAGATGCACACCCTTCCTGAGACGCAGTTTCCTAGTCCGTAGGGTATAGATATATTAGAACCCACCTCTCAGGGTTGTGTGGGTTCAACGAGAAAATGCGTGGAGGTGGGGGAGGGATGCCTGGCATTTAGTAAAGACTCAAAAACGTGTTTTTATTAAACTATGATCTCCTTTTATTTTCACACTTCTGTGTACATTATTTATCTTCTCCACAGCTCAGATAAGGACATTAAGGCTCAGAGGCCCTGAGAGCTGCCCAGGGCCACTCCAAGGGCCCGAGGGGGGATTCGAACCTATCGTTTCAGGTTCCGCGTGTACTAGCTTTCCTCTTTACTGCCCACCTCTTGCTGGGATCCACAGCTTCCATCTTCAGAAAACCCAAACCCAATTCAACAAACAGCTCATTTCCAATGAGCCCAGCCCAAGGCTGTTGCGGGAACCCTGAAGGTCCCGGGGAGGTCCCAGATACAGCCTTCACCCCCGCAGAGCTAGGGGTTCTAGAAGACCCACGTGGGGCAGTTAAGAGAAAAGGCAACATGGGGCGAGATCCCGGCACTGGCCACAGTACCCAGCCCAACTATTGTCACTCCCAGGTCTATGACTTACCCCTGGATCACCAGGCCACAAACGAAAGAGGAAATGGGACAGGAGCGATATGTTCTCAATGAACACGAGGGGTGCATGGGGGTCACCCTTCTTTTCAAGTATCCCCAAGCCACCTTTTTCATAATCTGCTCCCAAATCCTCCTGAGCATGAGCCCAACATTTCCAATATCCATTTGGAAAAAATAAAGACACTTGCCAGCTCCTGATTTTCAACACGTCTGTTCCCTGGGGCTCCTCAGAGATGAGCAATAAGGAGCCGTGGTCCCGTTTCCAAGCATTTTGATTCTAGGGGTTTCCTTTCGAGGAGAGCAGCACGGTGACGGTGACAGAGGGGGTGACAGAGGGGGCAGAGGAGGTGATCATTGGGAGCCCCCGTGGGCTCACTGCAAACAGACCATGAATAACTCAGGCGGATGCAGAGTGGGCCTTCAACTGAGGAGCGCAAGGGGGGCCAGGCCCCGTATCTAGCAGGTGCCGAGGCCAGCACAGACCCACCTGCTGTCCTCTGTCCCTGGTTCTCTAACATGGCACTTTTTTTTTTTTTTTTATTGTGGTAGCCCAAACCAACTGTCCCAAGGGATTCAGTTGGCCCTTTGCCCTCCTTCCATCTACCTGCCGGGCGCCCTTGTGGGGAGCAAAATCTTCCCTCGGTGCCCTGGCTGGTGTGGCTCAGCTGGTTGGAGCTTCATCCTGAGCACGGAAATGTCACTGGTTTGATTCCCGGTCAGGGCACATGCCCAGGTTGTAGGCTCAATTGGAGGCAACCAACCTATGTTCCTCTATCGCATCGCTGTTTCTCCCTTTCTCTCTCTCTCCCTCTCCCTTCCTTTCTCTCTAAAATCAATAAAAACAAACATATTTTAAGAAAAACGCCTTCCCTTGCATTCCTCATTTTCCTGGGCAGGGTTAGACCCGCAGTGCCTCCTTCCTTGCCTTTAGGCCCTGGGCACTATGACCGCCTCCTTTGGGACTCATGTCTGTCTTAACAGCCAGGGCCAGCTGCTTCTTGTTTCCCCATTGAGGCCACTCTGACCCTCACCTTCTCCTGCGGGGAGACCCAGGACATTGCAGAGCACACCCCAAGCTGGTAAATGTCATCCCCACCACAACACGCCAGCCTTCCAGGTGACATTTATGGGGCTGACTTGAGCCCGCAGAGCCCACTAGCCAAGCAGAGCAGCAGATGGAACCCCCAAAGGGAAGCGTCAATGTTCTCTTCTGTCTCTCTTGAAAATGACCTGAGTGGCTTCTTCTGGAGCGCTGGTTGTCATGGCAACGGAAGGAGGCTCCATCATACCCAGGATCCACTTCAGAATAAAGTTTGCCTCTTTAAACTGGACCGGGGGTTACCTCACCTATTCCCATGAGACACACAACATCAAGGGCCTGCAAGCAAATAGTCTTTGGCTCATGACACCGCCCAGCAGCCCAAGATTTCCAGGGAAATTCTGACCCTGGTGACATGTCCAGGAGAAGGGACTCAGGCGCCTTTATCCCTAAAGCAGCCCCTGGAAAAATGCAGGTGGTCCAAGAGGTCAGGGTTCCAGCTGCAACTCGAATCAGCACCCCAGGTGCCACTGAGCTCTGAGTTCTTGGTTTGTTTTCTGAAGTGAACATCACATAATATAAAACTAACCACTTGAAAGTGAACAATTGGGTCACTTCGGGCATTCATCATGTGTAATCACCACCTCTATCTAGTTCCAAAACATATTCATCAAAGTAATACCCCAAAGTAATACCCCACGCCCACTGAGCAGTCCCTCCCCACTCTCCCCTCCCCCAGCCCCCTGGCGGCCGCAAACCTACTTTCTGTGTCTGCGGATTTACCGATGCTGCTTATTTCATGTAAAGGGAATCATACAGTGTGTGTCCTCTTGGCGCTGGCTTCTTTCACTCAGCGTAGTGTTCTGGAGGCCTATCCTCGCGGGGGCATGTATCAGTGCTTCATTCCTTTCCGTGGCTGGGTAACAGTCCCTGACACGGATACAGCACAGTTTGTTTACCCACCCATCCGCCGGGGGGTGCACATTTGCGTTGGTTCAGCCCTGTGGCTGTTGTGAGTGATGCTGCTGGGAGCATGCGCGCACACGGGTTCGGCTGAGTCCCTCTTTTCCATTTGGAGGGGGAAAGACCTCTCTGTGCCTTTTCTCTTTTTATACTCCCCGATGAGCCTGGTCAAGGGCTCTAGAAGAGTGGGAGGGTGGGCTTACACCTTGTTACCTAAACTACACACACACACACACACACACACACACACACACACACACCTGGTGCCACCTCTGCAGGGCTTCATCTGCTGCAGCCCCTGAGGAAGGGCCCTGGGAAAAGCCATCTTCTGTCTGCCCTTTAGTCATGTTATTACTGGAGACCGTGCACCCACCAGGCCATCAGGGGAGCTCCTCCCTGACAGCTGTTTCCTCAGCAAGTTTCACCCAGATAAAGAATTTCATTTTGACTCATCTAAGCAGCCATACTTGCCTGGGGTGAGGGTGGGGCTCCTTGATTTCAGCCGAGGAGAATGGTGTTTGCTGTGATCCCCCCCAAAAATATACCTTTCCACAATTCCCTGTAGCTAAAAATTTCCTATAACCACCTTCAGATGGAATGAACTGGACCCCTTGACCTTGACTTGGCACCGTTCAGAGTGCTTTACCCACATAATCTCCAGGGAAGTGTCATATCACCTCTAGCTGACAGATAAAGAAAGTGAGGCTCAGAGAGGGGAAGTGACTTACCTGCATCCACCAGCTAGAAAGTGGGGGAGCTGAGATTCAAACCCAGAAGCCACGCTCAGAAGCCCTAAAACCCTGTCTGCATTCACGCTCACCTGTCCTCCCCCTGGGAAAGGTGCAGCCCCGCAGCAGCTGGGCAATGACCCTGTCACCTTGCTAGGTTACTCTAGTGGCCGTTCAATTGTCCTACCTCGGGCATGCCCAGCGACAGTTCATCTCTGCCTCAGTCCAGGAGGGCTATCACTGGTTCAAGATCATGGATGAGTACGGTCTAGTGTTCTCCAGTCTCATCTCTCCTGCCCCCAGCGGCTGCCTTAACATGCGAAGGCCAGCAGCCCTGCTCGATGAGGCACGGGCAGGAATACTAGCCTAGATCATCCCAGATGCAGACACCAGGTGAGAATTCAAATGCGTGTAATGTATTTGGGAGGTGACCCCAGGAAGCACTGGTAACAGAGTAGAGCAGTGAGACAGGGAAGAAAAGAAAGTCACACTAGGTGCATTGATGAGCATATTGGTCAGACTGGGTGGTTTAACAGGAATTCATTTTCTCACAGTTCTGGAGGCTGGAAGTCCAAGATCAAGGTGCCAGTAGTGTTGGTTTCTCCTGAGGCCTCTCTCCTTCGCTTGCAGACGGCCACCTTCTCCCTGTGTCCTCGCATGGCCCCCTCAAT